CTCACAGAGGGAATCCCATTAGGCTTAACAGTGGACTGTTAAGCTGAAACTTGACATCCAGAAGAGACTGTGGACCTACATTCAGTATTCTTAAAGACAAGAAATTCCAACCAAGAATTTTATATCCATCTAAACTAAACTTCATAAGCAAAAGAGAAATAAAATCCTTTTCAGACATGCAAATGCTAAGGAAATTTGTTACCATCAGACACACCTTACTAGAGGTCCTTAAAGGAGTGCTAAATACGGAAATGAAAGAGTACCAGCCACCACAAAACACAATTAATTACATAGATATTGACACTGTAAAGCAACACACAATGAATTCTGCATAATAACCAGCTAACAACACAATAACAGGATCAAATCTACACATAGCAATATTAACCTTGAACATAAATGGACTAAATGCCCTACTTAAAAGGCACAAAGTGGCAAGGTGGATAAAGAAGCAAGCCCCAACTGTATGCTGTTTTCGGTGTCATTGCATGTGAGACCCATCACTCATAGGCTCAATGTAAAGGCTCAAAGAAAGATCTCCCAAGCAAATGGGAAACAAAAAAGTAGGGTTGCCATTCTAATTTCAGACAAAACAGACTTTAAGCCAACAAAGATAGAAATAGACAAAAAAGGGCATTACATAATGGTAAAGGGTTCAATTCAACAAGAAGACTTAACCGTCTTAAATATATATGCACCCAAGACAAGTGTACTCAAATTCATAAAACAAGTTATGAGGGAACTACAAAAAGACAGATAACCACACAATAATAGTGGGAGACTCTGACACCTCACTGACAGCATTAGACAGATTGTTGAGAGAGAAAACTAACAAGGATATTTGGGCCCTAACTCGACACTTGACCAAACGGACCTAAAAGACATCTACAGAACAGTCCACCCAACAACAGAATATACATTCTTCTCATCTGCACATGGTACACACTCTAAAATCAACCACGTGATTGACCATAAAACAATATTCAGCAAATTCAAAAAACTCGAAATTATACCAACCACACTCTCTGACCACATCCCAATAAAAATGGAAATAAATATTAGGAAAATCACTAAAAACCACACAGTTATATGGAAATTAAACAACCTGCTCCTGAATGACTTTTGGGGATGACTTTTGAGGCTGCATCTGGAACCACATGTAAGTAGGGCTGCAGCAGGGTCCACAGGCAGATAGATGGCAGTGTTTCTGTGTTCATGGCCAGGTCTATGATTGGTGAGCCTACTTCCAGGGGCATGGTCCTGCCTTCTCAAAGCAGTTTTCCTTGGTCTTGGGCTCTAGTGGATTGTCATGACCTCCTGACTGGGTCCTGATGTTCCCACAAAGACATTTTATCCACGGATGGTTGCCAAATCAGTGTTGTGTGGGTGAATGAAGCCTGGGGACCTTCTACTTAGCCATCTTACACATGTCCTGTTTCATTTGTTCTTTGTTTTCTTTTTCTTCTTTTTTTCAAGTAGTTGGGTCATTGTGATTATTCCATTTTTTCTGTTATTAAACTGTTTGTTGTGTTATTTAAGAGTTGCTTTAGTGTTCATAGTATTGCTCTTTAACTCATCGCAGTCTATCATTGGGTGTCATACTACTTTACATATAATATAAAAACCTTTCAAGGTTATATGAGCTATGGTTCTAACAGCAGCAAAAATATTTTATTTTGTATTTTGAATATGGAAATTGCAATCTTTTTCTAGTGATAGTAAAATCCATTTTACTTGGACTATTTTCAAGTATTTTTGTGACTTGCCGTTTATTCAGAAACTCTATTGTCTCGATGATATCAAATTTTCCAGAAAGATAGAAAGAACAAAATGAAGTTGTACAACTGGCAAAGGTCTGAGCGTATCTCAAGATTTCATGATATATAGTATTGCCTTTGCCTTTTTTTTTTTTTTTTTTTGAGATGGAGTCTCACTCTGTCGCCCAGGCTGGAGTGCAGTGGCGCAATCTTGGTTCCCTGCAACCTCTGCCTCCTGGGTTCAAGCGATTCTTCTGCCTCAGCCTCCCGAGTAGCTGGGATCACAGGCACCCACCACCATGCCTGGCTAATTTTTGTATTTTTAGTAGAGACAGGGTTTTGCCATGTTGGCCAGGCTGGTCTTGAACTCCTGACCTCAGGTGATCTGCCCGCCTTGGCCTCCCAAAGTGTTGGGATTACAGGTGTGAGCCACTGCGTCTGGCCTGCCTTTGCCTTTATATAACAATAAAATTAACTCCTTTGGGGTTTATCAACTATATCCTCATAAATTAGTATCAATATAATATGTTCCATGCACAGAATCATATAATTGTATACAGTAAATATGGCCTTCTGCAGAAGATATAGTCAAGTACTCCAAGAGATTGCATGTAATTCACCCAGTCTCATTATCAAAAGGCACAGACAGCCTTTTCCCAGAAATCTTTTAAATGTCCCTAAAATGTGGATTTTGCACCTCTGGATGAGGTATCAGAGCAATATTGCCCTAAAATCTCAATGGTTAAGATATGGTCAGGTATTTCTAACAACTAGCACAGCAGTAAAAAACCAAAAGGGTTATCTTTAGATCTATATCTTTCAAATAAAGAGACATAATTCATCTTTGGATTGTCAGAAGACATTTCTGATCTATTATTTTATATGTGATGCTGTCTTACTTTTTGAAAGTTTACAGGCAAAGGTCTCTATTTGAGTGAATTTTCTAACTCCTATTTACTTTTACCTTTAACTGATGATTTCTTTGCTATAGCGGTTTTCAGCTAGGGACAATGTTGCCCTCAGAGGACTTTTAGTAGTGTGTAGAGGTTTTTTGTTTGTTTGTTTGTTTTGGTCACAGGTGGGAGAAATGTTTTAGAGGCAAGAAAGGCTGCTAAACATCCCACAATATACAGGAAAGCTCCCCACAGCAAAAAATTGTTCTTGTCAAAATGTTGATGGTGCTGGAGATCAGAAATATTGCTCTACTTTATATTTTACTGTCTGTCTCTGAACTTCTTTATTAAATGGCCAATATTGTATGGTAAAATCGAGAGTGTCATCAGAAAGAAAATTAAGAAAAACAATCAGAATTAGAAATTAGAGGCTCCCCTGCCTGTGGAGTAGCCATTCTTTTATTCCTTTATTTTCTTAATAAACTTTCTCTCACTTAAAAAAAAAGAGAAATTAGATTTTTCTGGACTGATTCTTTTTGTTCCTTATCTTTTTCATTTCCCTTACCTTTTTTTTTTCTTCTTGCTCAGAGATAAAAAAAGTTCTGGCCGGGCGCGGTGGCTCACCCCTGTAATCCCAGCACTTTGGGAGGCCGAGGCGGGTGGATCACGAGGTCAGGAGATCAAGACCATCCTGGCTAACATGGTGAAATCCCGTCTCTACTAAAAATACAAAAAACTAGCCGGGCGCGGTGGCGGCGCCTGTAGCCCCAGCTACTCGGGAGGCTGAGGCAGGAGAATGGCGGGAACCCGGGAGGCGGAGCTTGCAGTGAGCCGAGATCGCGCCACTCACTCCAGCCTGGGTAACAGAGCGAGACTCCATCTCAAAAAAAAAAAAGCAGAAAAAGTTATTTTTGCTTCAGTGAGTTGAGATGTTATATTTATTCAGTGTCAAGTCTCTGAAGAAACTTTCACTAATTCACTAAGATGGAGAATAAGAAATGAGTGATGATTTTTTTTGCTTACATTTAATAGAAAACTTTGGACTTAACGAGGGGAAGATAATTTCATTTCAGGAAGTAATTCATTTGGATTCTAATGTCTTTGGGCTTCAACATAGAGATTGAAGATATTCAATCTTTGAACTTCAATTTATGCCTAGAAATTTTATAAGGAGACTTGTTTATATTCAAATATGGGAAATTTTTCTTTTTTAGCATTTTAATATAGGAGGGTATTTATGACTTTTAAAGTCTCCTAATGTCATTTAATTATCAAAGAATCTCTAATGTGCTACACTGGATAATGGAGTGGCACATAAGATGACAAAGAAGAGAAGATGTGACTTTTCAGCTATGTGTAAAATGTATATGGTAAAAATTGTATTAGAGTATTATTCTGAAATTAGCTTAGAATCTGATCTCAGAGTAATATGCTGTTCGTGAGTGATTCTGAGAAGATATAGAAAAAGCAATGACTAGTATTGAAGAAACAGATCCATGAAGATGAGATTAGAGTTATTTCAATAGACTCCTGACATCTTCTCTACATAGGGAGATAACCCACCTTCCCCTGATTCATTGGCCTTAAGCTTTGCGGTTAAAAAAAAACACAAACTCTTGAATTTTGTTTGTGGGGTAATTTGGCCTCATTCTTTGTTTTCCATCTTTGTGGCACTCATGCCACGTCATACTCCTGGTATCCTTCCTGCCCTTTAATTGTCTTGGTCCCAGAAAATGGAGTTATCTGTTGGAGAGTTTAGAAAGAGCTAACCCGGCATGCTGAGTTAGCAACTCTTCAGCTCTACAGCTCCTCCTAGTGAGCCTACTTGTAGAAAGCAGGTCTTCTCTTCTACTTCTCTAGGGGCAGGGGGCAGGAGAGGCGAGACCTGCTTCAAGTGCTGGAATGACTGGAATGGTCATGTACCTAATTCTCAGGTGCAGTGTTAGCAAGGTTACATGATTAGCAGGCTTTAACCCATATTATCTAAGTAGGTCTCTATTAGTAATGAAAATGATATTTGTTCAGAAGTGGATGAGGAAGAAGGTTGACATTGCACTTCAAATAATCAAACACTGTCTACTGCTACTTCATAATTTTATTGTTTTACATATTTAACATTTTTATCTTTATTTTTCTTAGAAACTTGCATTTTTTATAAATACCTGTAGGGTATGAGTTTCTTCTGTTATTTAGTTTATTCTCATCGTTCTTAAGAGGCTTGCATGTGTCTCAAGAAGAAACGCTCCAGAAGGCAGTCAGTACACGTGCGATTAGGACAACATTTATTTCCAGTCAAGGAAGAATAAGAAATTGGGTTAAACAGGAGTCTGCAAAATTATCCATTCTGGAGTTCAAAGGGCTTAACGTTTGCTCCCACTTAAGGAGATTTTCCTTTGGGAACTGGAGTTGGATAGGGCTCAAGTATCCACCACCTTCTACAACATTTTTTTTCGTCATTACATGTACCAATGGTATCATCTAGTGTGCTGCAGCCTTTGTCTCTGCACACCCCTTTCAAAACAATACACTGTTTTTGTCCTGGAATAACGCCAGTCTTTCCTGCACAGAAAGAGATTTAAGAACATCATTAATTCACTATTGAAAATATACATAAAACAATAAACTCCCAGAAGAATGGCTTTGGGAGAGGAAAGAAAACATTGTCTATATGAAAGGATCAGACACGTAGACAGAAATAGTGCCTTTTTATGGGAAGGGAGCTAAGATTGTAGATTATATACACCTTGGAGGAAATAGCCAACTTCTAAAATCCTTTAAAGGGATTGTCCTCCCCTAGAGCAGTACATTTTGAAATGTGTGGGACCATTTGTTCTTGCCTCCATGCCTAGGGAAGGTGTCTTTGGTATTTAGCAAATAGCACAGCACTGCTACATTTTTCACCTAAGGAATTGTCTTTCACCAAACACCAACAATGCCGCCACTAAGAAACAGCTTCAAAGGAAGTATCTGTCCCTCCATCTTCCGATCTGTGTGTACATCATCCCTATCAAATGGTGCGTGTTCATATCTTCATCTCCTTTCATAGAAAGCCTATCAATCCTTTAGATTTTATCTAAACCGATTTCCTCATTTCAGGACTATGTAAGAAATATCTTTCCTATGTTGCTCAATACCTCATAGATCGATAAGGGATAGATAGATAGATAGATAGATAGATAGATAGATAGATAGATAGACAGACAGACACCTGGAGAAAATTACTCACTGAGCTAAAAGGTATTTTCCCTTAAGTGTATCCATATGTTATCTTAATTCATCTGGTTGTTGAGAAGTGTATGACTAAGGGTGTGCTCTAATTCAGTAGTTTTCTCTATGCTTACTATCCTTTCTCTTACTATCCTTCTCAGCACAACCATAGTTTATGTTTCCTACCGTATATCACAGCAGATGTTATATAAGAAAAACACTTTTGCTGATGTTCATTAACAGACATTAGTTCCCGAACCATCCAGTTAACACACCTGGATCTTATTTTGTTTTTACTGTTGTGTAATATACTACCTCTGGCTTCTTTGCTTCTGTAGATGAGTAACAGTTTGATGGCCTTTTCAACTCTCAATCTTTTTTTTTGGTTGTTTGTTACTGTTTTGTATTTAAACTAGGCTATCATTATTGTTTCTCCACTCTGTAGAAATAGATCCATAGCCAGAAAAACCAAAACAGCCTTTTGGAACTGAGTGCTCATAACCTGTGCAAGATTGTCTTCTACCTTTGTTAGAAGCTTCAACCTAGTGCAGTCTGGTATTATACTCTACTATCAGACTAGTAGTTCATAAATTCAGGGTTTCTACGTAACAAGAGAATGTCATGATGGGGGAGTTGGGTAATATCTTGTAATATTACCTTTTTTTCCCCAAGATTATTGTGGAAGAGAAAGTGGCTGCCTTTCAGAGAGACCTGAAGTCTCCCCAGCCAGTTGTGGAAGGTGCTGGTTCTACTGCATTGTCTACACAGAACACAGGCTTCATGCTCAGAAGCATAGCAGACCTGTTGCTAGGTGTTGATCTTTTCCCTGATAACTTCATCCATACATTTAACATCTGGCAACATTGTCAGACTTTTTAAATGAAGCTAAAATCAGGGGTTATTAGTACTGGGAAAGATATAATAAGAGGCAGAGTATGGTGTCAAGGAGGCCTGTGCATGTGAACTTAGAGGGATCCCATGCAAAATGAGGTGGAATGTGAATCTTCAGCTGAAGCCAAAAGAGTGAACTTCCTCTCAGTAGGGTAGAGATGTTTAACCCACTATACAGTCAAGTTCAGCCTACTGACACAGCATGTAGCCTAAGATAGTGCCGATTCCTCTATTTGGGAGATGTCCCTTGCTTCACTCAAAATGAGGGGAACAATTCATCCTACCAGTGATGTGCTTCTTGCTATATGGGAATCTAAGGAGGTATGCTCTGAGCATGAAGCCTGAAGCTTAATTTAAGGAGGTATACTCTGAGCATGAAGCCAAAGAGTTATAATCGCCCTTTTTACTGATGACTGTGACATATCGTCATGCTAAGGGCACTAGTTTAAGTCAAGAAGATAAGATTAAATTACTTGATTCATATTCAGATTCATAGTCCTCATTCATGAGGAAGGGAATTTCTTCCCAGATATTCACATTTATTTTCAGACTTATTGACAGAAGTATACACACATAGAACATAAGAAGAGAAAGAGAGGCACTCTCTAATACACTTTAGAATTTATTTGACATTAATACGTTATAATGGTTGTATCACATGGCAGTTGGAGAAAGGATGCATATTTAATAAGTGCTTTTGGAAAAAGAAACAATTTAGATGTTCACTTCATATTATATCACAACATTAATTTCTGTGGATGAAGTGAGAAGAACTTAGAATCACACTGAAAAAAACCCTTAATAGCACATTCATCTGCTTTCTAAAAGGATATAAATTTCTTAGCGTTAGAGCTCATTGAGTCAGTAACTTTTAAGTTTTTTTTTTTTTTTTTTTTTGGGGTGATGTAGAGGATTTAAATGGAGAGGCTCTTCCTGGAACTTCATCAATCAAAAACTAGAAGCACAGTTTCCTTTTCTCTACATAACGTGAGTTCAAGCTATCTTCTGCTCCTGTCCAATGTCGTGTATTCAGATATTATGTTACTCTCCACAGTCAGTGTAAGAAGAATGCTATAATTTTCTTAATTCTCAGAGAGCTAATGCAGCAATCCAAGATTTATGCCATTCTAACCTCTTTAGACTCATATTCCCAGCACATATATGTTTGTGTGTATATATGAATCTATATGAACTATTCCAATTTTTTATAGGATACCATGGATTCTTTTTTGAATAAATATAAGGATATATAAAAACATATATTCAAGTAGTTATAACTTAATATTCATCAGACATTAAGCTGATAAACTAATATTTCAGATTATGTAGTTTCTTTGGAGAAATTTTTTCATGAAAACAATAATTTTTTTTACTTAATTGGATTTTTTGGGGGTAAAATTGTCTTTAACAAAACTCTTCATGATCCAGCCACTCAATTTTTCTTAAAAGAAATTTTGTTAGATAGAAGTTATATAGGAGTTATAAAGTTTCTAAGATTATCAGAATGCTTCTAGGCAACTGATAAATTCTATATGCCCAACAGTCACAGCAGAGATTAAAATCAGAATTTTTGGAGTGCAGTATTATTAAATTGTATAGACAGCTCAACAGTTAACTATTTAGTACTAAGAGACCATACAAAACTGATAATGAAATTCCTATTTTTCAACTTGAGTGTTCTGGGTCCCACTTGATAATGTGTCCAAGAACATCTCAATATGCACAAGTAAGTCATTTTGACCTTTACATATGGCTTTAATATCCTCTGACACAAGAAACCTGGCTATTCAAAAGTGATTCGCTCCTGTGCAGAATTACAGGACTCTCATTTAATCCTTCTTCCTGGTATAACTGATTTGGGAGGATCAGACAAGGGCTGATATTTCTATTCCCGCAGGAAGGAAGATGTCACAGCCTGAAAGGCAGGCCTCTGAAGGATTCTTGTCATATTTGTGGGGAGAGTAACTCAGCTTTCAACCTCAAATAACCTCTTGTTCTTTGTCCTTTATTTTATTGTGGTGATAACACTGAAAGTGAGATCTACCTTCTTAAGAAATTTTTAAATGCTATAGGTATAATATTGTACAGTCAATCTTTAGAGCTTATTCATCTAATAAAACTGAAAACTTTTACTCATTAAACAGCAACTCCCTATTTCCTCCTCCCTCCCCGGTCCCTGGAAACCACATTCTGCTACCTGTTTCCATGAGTTTGACTGTTTTAAGTACCTCATGTAAGTGGAATCATGCAGTATTTGTCTTCTTGACTGGCTTATTTCATTTAACATAATGTCCTCCAGGTTCATCCATGTTGTCACATATAGCAGAAAACCTCCTTAGTTTCCTCAATGTATAATGAGAAGATTTTGAGAAAAAAGTCTGACAGAAATCAGTTACCATTTTTGTATGGATATCTACACCTATGGATTGATTAAAAACAACATTGACCCAGATTAAAGAGATTTGCTTTTAGCTGCAGTGTTGCTACTACCTATGTGATTTGAGTGAAATCACATTATTTATCTGTACATGGGTCTTATTGTCTAAAATAAAAACAATTGCCATTCAATTTTGTTCTAATTTGAAGTTATTACCATCACATAATTTCATATCAGATGATACTACAAGTGTATCTGACCTCAATTGTATCTTCTGACCAAAGCTGAGAACCAAATGAGAATTGCATAAGCTCCTTCAGAAGGAGGTAATCATGTGTGAGGCAGATCTCAGCAAATCCACAGATTAGGTAAAGATCAAACAACTGAGTAGCTTTGATTGCACTTAAGAGAATCTCAGAACTGGAACAAGACAAGAGTGCCCTCTCCCACCATCCTAATCAGCACGGTACTGGAAATATGAGCCAGAGCAATCAGCCTTTTGAAATAAAAGGCATCTAAATAGGAAAAGAAGAAGTCAAATTACCTCTTTTTATTGATGATATTATTCTGCACTTAGGAAACTCTAAAAACTCTGCCAAAGCTTCCTGGACCTGATAGACAACTTTAGTAAAGTTTCAGGATGCAAAATCAATGTACAAGATCAGTAGCCTTTCTATACATCAATAATGTTCAGCCCGAGAGCCAAGTCAAGAACGCAATCCCATTTACAATAGCCACACAAAAAATTAAATACCCATGAATACATTTAACCAAGGAGGTGAAAGATCTCTACAAGCGATACTACAATTCACTACTGAAAGAAATCATAGATGACACAAGCAGAAAAATATTCCCTGCTGTGGATTGGAAGAATCAATATTATGAAAATGGCCATACTGCCCAAAGCAATTTATAGATTCAGTGCTATCCCTATCAAACTACCAATGACATTTTTCACAGAATAGAAAAAACTATTCTAAAATTCATATGAAACTGAAAAAGAGCTCAGACAACCAAAATAATCCTAAGCATAAAGAACAACACTGGAGGCATCATCCTGCTTGACTTCAAATTATACTATAAGGCTACAGTAACTAAAACGGCATGGGACTGGTACAAAAGCAGACACATGGACTACTGGAACAGAATAGAGAACCCAGAAATAAAGCTGCACATTTATAACCATCTGCTCTTTGACAAAGTTGACAAAAACAAGCAACGGGAAAAGGACTCCCTGTTCAATAAATGGTGCTGGTATAGCTGGCCGGCCATAAGCAGAAGAATAAAACTGGATGCCTATCTTTCACCATATATAAAAAATTAACTCATGATGGATTAAATATTTAAATGTAAGACCTCAAACTGTAAGAATCCTAGAAGAAAACCTAAGCAACACCATTCTAGATATTGGCCTTGGGGAATAATTTATGACTAAGTACTCAAACACAATTGCAACAAAAACAAAAATTGACAAGTAGAGCTGAATTAAACTAAAGAACTTTTGCAGAGAAAAAGAAAATTATTAACAGGGTAAACAGAAAACAACAGAATGGGAGAAAATATTTGCTAACTATGCATCTGACAAAAATCTAATATCCAGAATCTATAGGGAATTTAAATCAACAAGCAAAAAACAAATAAAGTGGGAAAAAGATGTGAAAAACATGAACAGACTCTTCTCAAAATAAGACATAGAAGCAGCCAGCAAACATGAAAAATAGCTCAACATCACTAATCACTAGAGAAATGCAAATCAAAATGAAAACCACAATGAGAACTATCTTACACCAGTGAGAATGGCTATTGTTAAAAAGTCAAAAAATAACAGAGATGCAGATGAGGCTGTGGAGAAAAGGAGTGCTTACACACTGGTGATGGGAATGTAAATTAGTTCAGCCACTGTGGAAAGCAGTCTGAAGATTTCTCGAAGAACTTAAAACAGAGCTACCATTCAACCCAGCAATTCCATTACTGAGTATATTGTCCAAAAGAAAATAAATCATTCTACTCAGAACATACATGCACTCCTATGTTCATCACAGAACTATTCACAATAGTAAAGACAAAGAATCAATCTATCTAGGTGGTCATCAATGGCGGACTGGATAAAGAAAATGTGGTACATATACACCATGGAATACTATACAGCCATAAAAAAGAACAAAATCATATCCTTTGTAGCAACATGGATGCAGCTGGAGGACGTAATCCCAAATAAATTAATGCAGAAATAGAAAACCAAATAATGCATGTTCTCACTTATAAGTGGGAGCTAAACATTGGATACTCATGGACATAAAGATGGGACACTGGAGACTACTAGATTGCAGAGGGAGGGGAACAAGGATTGAAAAACTGACTATTTTGTACTATGCTCACTACCTGAATGATGGGATCACCATCTTGCCCCAAACCTCACATCACACAACATACCACCATAACAAACCTGCACATGTACCTCCTGAATCTACAATATAAGTTGAAATTATTTAAAAAATAATCTCAGAGATAAAGCAAGGAAGAGATCTTTGTTCATTGACCACACACTATATTTTGAGGGATATGAATATCCCACTATTAACAGTGGAGATAATAATTTTATCAGATCTTACCAGGATCTGGATGAAACACCCTGAAGACGTTCGATTCTATATTCCCTTTTCAGTTTGATTCTACATGTCAATATTTAAACTTCTGAATCATGGACCCTAAGGATGCAATTAAGAGTCTTAAAGTGTTTTCTATATTATTTGTCTTATGCTTAAAATTTTGCCATTGAAGCTTCATGTCAGTTTATCTTTTTCCAAATTCCCCTGCTCCCAAATTTCTATTGGTCTTTCATAATTTGATGCAAAACTGTCTTGTTGAATTCTGTCTTATTTGCCTAACTGCTGCCCTTTACAAATATTCCTCACCAATAGACTGTATATCACTTCCATTCACTACCAAGTTTGAACCAAGAACTATCATCTTCACTCTCCTTTTTGGAGAGTGAGGCCTTGATGATAGCTATTTGCTGTATTTACTAATCTTTAAATCACATATCAAAGCTTCTATACCCCTAACTCTATTTTGGCCCCGTTTTCTGATTATGGAGCTCTTGAACTCCGATTTTCTGTTGAAAGAACTCCTTGTCCTACTTCTAAATTTTGGCCACATTAGTACCAAAGAAGACAAAACATGTTGGATTTCTGAATTCCTAAGGCTGTGAATTGGGGTCTGAGTTAGGATGGCCACAGTATAATTATCTCAATAGACCTCCTCTGGTCTAGGCATCCCAATAGACTTCTAAAATCATTCACCATCTTACCTTTTGGTATTAAAGTCACAAAGAGGAGGAGAACAGAAATAAGGGAATGGAGTTTCATGGCTGAGTGCCCAATAGAGAGGTGAATGATCAGGGCTGGTGGAACGCAGGGGCTTTTATTTACATCTGGGGGCTTGAGGTTCCTCTTGGTCAGTGAAGCTTAACAATAAGGAAATAAAACAGCTTCCGTTGGAATGTTTCCAAACTCTAGAGTCTCTACATTTGGTGACAAATTAACCTAATTGTAGGAAACCAGATGGTTAACCCTTTCCTTTTTCTATGGCTCTCAATTTCACCAGAGGCTAATTAATACCTTTAATTAATTTTTTTTTTGAATGGGGCCAAGAAGTAAGGCCATGTGAGTACAGAACATCCTTATTACAAAAGTCCTAGGGCTTGTAAGGAAACATTTCCATAATACACACTTTTTTTTTTTTTGCAAGAGGGACAAGAGTATTGCCTAAGGTCCATTTATGAAAAGCTATTTTTTTTTTTTTTATTAAGTTAGTCCTTAAAAGAGAGGCTGTCACTTGTGTGAGGTGTTCTTAATCACATCTGAAAGGTGGATACACTTAATTCACATTGAAAACAAATATTTTTAATCGTTATTGATCCACTGTATAATTATCTCATACAACAGGACAAGTAAGATCAGGAGACTTGAAAGATAAAAGACAGAGTAAAGTGCGCAGCTCCTGTCAAAAGACTCTGAGCCTATAGCTTAAAGAGATTCCCTAATCTTTCATCCTAACCCACCACATAGCAACAAAACATTGAAAGCTTAAGAGCATGCCTTTAATCAAGAATCAATTGACCAAAATCCAACTTACCCAAAACAAATTTACCTTCTGATCAATTCCTTATTGGCACATTTCCCTGAATTGAAAGTTTTTTAAATTTGTAAACTTTCATATATGGTGTCAATCTTTTTTGAAAAATTCTATATACATAGATAAATAACTTGTATATAGCTTTTATTTGACTACTTTTGATCATTTTCATGTTAGCTGATGTATTTTCGAGCATTTACTAATTTATTTCTTTATTAATAATTTATGCCTTAATAATTTTAGGTTTGCATAAATATTCCAAAAGACTAATATTCAAAATAATTTTTCAAAAGTAGAATAAAGACAGAGAATTTAGACTAACGTGTTTCAAGACAAAGCTACAATAATGAAGACATTGTGATACTGGTATAAGGAGAAACATATAGTTCAACAGAACATAATAGAGAGTGAAGGATAAGACCATCATATGGATGGTCTGTGTGTGTGTATGTATATATATATATGTATACATACACACACACACACACACACACACATATATATATATATATATATATTTTTTTTTTGAGACAGAGTCTCACTCTGCCACCCAGGCTGTCATGCAGTGGCACTCAATCTCCTGACCTCGTGATCTGCCTGCCTCAGCCTCCCAATAGCTTCCACTTTTAAGTAAGAGCATGTGGTATTTGGTTTTCTGTTTCTGTGCTAATTTGCTTAGAATAATGGCCTCCAGCTGCATCCATGCTGTTGCAAAGGACATGATTTTTTCTTTTTTATGGCTGCATAGTATTCCACGGTGCATATGTGCAACATTTTCTTTGTCTAGTCCACTGTTGATGGGCATCTAGGTTGATTCCATGTCTTTACTATTGTGAATAATGCTCCAATGAACATACACATGCATGTATCTTTATGGTGAAATAATTGATATTCCTTTGGATATATACTAAGTAATGGGATTGCTGTGTCAAATAGCGCTTCTTTTTTAAGTTTTTTGAGAAATCTTCAGACTACTTTCCACTGTAGCTGAACTAATCTATATTTCCACCAGCAGTGTATAAGCATTCCCTTTTCTCCAAAGTCTCACCAGGGTCTGTTATTTTTTGACTTTTAATAATAGCTATTCTGACTGGTGTGAGAGGAGATCTCATTGTGGTTTTGGTTTGCATTTCTCTAGTTATTAGTGATATTGGGCATTTAAAAAAATATGTTGGCTGTCTTTCTGTACAGTTGAACGATGAGAACACGTGGACACAAGAAGGGGAACAACACACACTGGGGCCAGTCAGGGTGTGGGAAGGCGAGTGGAGGGAGAGCATTAGGATAAATAGCTAATGCATGTGGAGCTTAAAACCGAGATGAGGGGTTGATAGGTGCAGCAAACCACCATGGCACACGTAAACCTATGCAACAAACCTACATGTTTTGCACTTGTATCCTGGAACTTAAAGTAAAATAAAAAATTTTTAAAAATGTAGTACAAGAACAAGATAATTAAAATGATACACTAGAAATGTTAAATAGAAAGGAAGGCAATGATGGAGGAATGAAAGAATTGAAGAACAAAAAAGATATAAGATATATAGACAACAAATAGAAAAATGGCAGAAATCCTTCCTTATTAGTAATGATATTCCACGTAAATGAATTAAATTCTACAATTAAAGGCAGAGATTGAGAGGATATATTTACAAACATGATCCAATTATATGTTACCTGTGAGACTCATTTTAGATTAAAATACACAAATAGTTTGAAAATAAAAGAATGGAAAATAATATTTCCTGCAAATTGTGACCAAAAAAGAGCAGAAGTAACTATATTAATATCAGACAAAAAAGACTTTGAAACAAAATTTTTTATAACCAAAAGGATATTATGTAATGTTAAAAGGGTCAATCCATTAATAAGATGTTACAATTATAAAAGGGTCAATCCATTAATAAGATGTTACACCTAATAAGACAGCCCTCAAATACGTATATGCTAATATAACTGAAGAGAGAATAGCTAAAAAGTAATGGATATTTTGATACATTAAATTTAATAATACAGAATAACTAGATAGAAGAGAGAATAGCTAAAAAGTAATGGATATTTTGATATACTAAATTTAATAGTACGGAATAACTAGATTGAAGATGAGTAAGAAAATAGAAAATTTGAACAACACTATAAACCAGTAGACTAACAGACATCTGTACAACACTCCAATTAACAAGGGAATACATATTTTTTCTTAAGTAAACACAAAACAGTCTCCAGAATAGTCCATGTTAGGCCATAAAATAAGTATCAGAAAATTTTAAAATATTAAAATCATACAAAATACTTTCTCCAACCACTGTGCGGCAAAACTAAAAATCAATAAGAGAAAAAAAATTCACAAATATGTGAGAATTAAATACCATACCTCTACACAACCAATGGGTCCAAGAAGAAATCACAAAGGAAATCGAAAAATACTTTGAGAAGAACCAAAATGAAAATACAATAAGGGATGCAGCAAAAGCTAAGTATAAGCTCAGATAAAAATTTATAGATGTAAACTCTTACCTTAAAAAGGAATGAATTAAATAGATAGCTAACACTCTAAATTCAGAACCTAGGAAAAGAAGGACTAACTAAATCCATAGCAAGCAGGAAAAATAAAATAATATTAGAACAAAGTGAAATAGAGAATAACAAAACAGTAGAGAAATCAACAAAACCAAAAGTTGATTATTTGAAAAGATCAAGAAACTTGACTCGCTTTTTGCTATACTGACCAAAGAAAACAGGAAGAAAACTTAAATTACTAAAATTAAAAATAAAGGCCGGGCGCAGTGGCTCACGCCTGTAATCCCAGCACTTTGGGAGGCCGAGGCAGATGGATCACGAGATCAGGAGATGGAGACCATCCTGGCTAATACGGTGAAACCCCATCTCTACTAAAAATCATACAAAAAGTAGCCGGGCGTGGTGGCAGCGCCTGTAGCCCCCGCTACTCGGGAGGCTGAGGCAGGAGAATGGCGTGAACCTGGGAGGCAGAGCTTGCAGTGAGCAGAGATCACGCCACTGCACTCCAGCCTGGGCGACAGAGCAAGACTCTGTCTCAAAAAAAAAAAAAAAAAAAAAAGAGTGCGGATACTATTACCAAACTTATACAGATAAAAGGAATCATAAGTGAACACTATGAATAATTGTATGTCAACAAATTAGGCACCCTAAATAAAATGATGGACTATTTCTACAAATAAACTACCAAAACTGAGTCAAGAAGAAATAAAAAATAGAGATAGACATATAACAAGTGATGGTAGTGAGACTGTGATTAAAAGCTTCCAAAAAAATAATCCAGGACCAGATGGCTGTACTAGTGAATTTTATCACGTTTAAAGAATAATGAAGGCTAATCTTTCTTACAGTCTTCAAAAACTTATAAGACACATTTCCAAACTAATTTTACATGACCAGTATTATCCTGATAGGAAAGCAAGACAAAGACATTACCAGAAGTGAAAACTAGTCCAGTATTCTTTATAAATAAAGATACAAAAATTCTTAACAAAATACTTTAAAATGGAATCTAGCAATATATTAAGAGGATTATACACCACAACCAAGTGCAATTTATTTTAAGAATCGACTGTTGGCGATGGCTCCTGCCTGTAATCCCAGCACTTTGGGAGGCTAAGGCAGGCAGCTCCCTTGAGGCCAGGAGTTCAAGACCAGCCTGGCCAACATGGCAAGACTCCGTCTCCACTAAAATATGCTTTGTTCACATTTTCTTATTCTTTTCTCTTTGTCTTTGTGGGATTGAGTTAATTTGAAGACCTTGTCTTCAAGCTCTGAGTTTCTTTCTTCTACTTGTCCAATTCTATTGCTGAGGCTTTCCAGAGCATTTCACATTTCTAAAAGTGTGTCCAAAGTTTCCTGAGTTTTTGATGTTTTCTTTAAGCTAGCTGTTTTGTTGAATATTAGTCCCTTCTCTTCTTGTATTATTTTTTAGATTTCCTGGCGTTTGAGTTTGCCTTTCTCTGGTCCCTCCCTGATTACCTTAATAACTAACCTCCTGAATTCTTTTTCAGATAAATCAGGGATTTCTTTTTGGTTTGGATCCATTCCTGGTGAACTAGTGTGAGTTTTGGGGGGTGCTGATGAACTTGTTTTGTCATATTACCTGGGTTGGTTTTCTGGTTCCTTCTTACTTGGGTAGGCTCTGTCAAATGGAAGGTCTAGGGCTAAAGGTTGTTGTTCACATTTTTTGTCCCAAGGGGTATTCCCTTGA